TTATTAATTGATGGTAAATTAGAGACAACTGCTGGCGATGGTGATGTATCACTTGTAAATAATGTGGGAGCATTTTTGTTTGATAGAATTTCTTATGAATTAAATGGAAAAGAAATTGATAATATACGCGATCCTGGTATTGTAAGCACAATAAAGGGCTATCTTATTTACAACAGTGATGATTCAAAACATTTAGATATTGCAGGGTGGAATTACCCTCAGAATCCCATAACACATTATTTATCTGCAACAGAGTCAACTTTTAATTTGCGTATACCATTACATCAATTATTTGGTATATTTAATGATTATCAGCTAGCTCAATTTGGTAAACACACTATACGCCTTGTAAGAGCTAGAAGTGACACTGATTGTTGTAAATATATCATTAAAAGTACCAGTTATTATACCCAATGATATATTAAAGCTACAACTGTTGGAATCAATAAATAAAGATAGACCTATAGTAATTCCATTCCGAAAATGGGAATATCATGAACTTCCGCAATTAACTAAAGATGCTACTCAAGAAATATGGGCGGTTAAAACATCAATTGCATTGGAAAGTCCGCCTTTTGTTATTGTAGGCTTTCAATAGGATAGAAGATCTAATTATACAAAAGATCCATCAAGGTTTGATAACATAAACACATCAGATTTACGGGTTATTTTAAATGGCGAATATTATCCTTCAGAGCGCATGCACCTTGAATTTGAAAAAAATAATTTTCTAGAAGCTCATTATAATTATACACAATTTTATTCAAGTTTCAAAAATGATTTCACCATGTCAAAACATCATCTACTTAATTATACACAATTTAAGAACCACACCCTTTTCGTAATAGATTGTTCTAGAAGAAATGAATCATTAAAATCAAGTACATTCGATATAAAAGTTGATATTGAGACGGTTTTCCTAACAACACAAAAGCATATTGCTTTATTGTACACGATGCTTTTATAGAACATCTTCCACTCAGCGAAATAGTTCGCAATTTATCATAATTTAGTGTTAAATAGCTTGTGCAACATGAAGGTTGTGTCCATAAATATTCAAGGATTTAATTTATTCTCTAATGAAGTGGGGGAATGGTTATTTTATCCAAAAGAAATAGCAGTTATGAACGGAGTGCAAACAAATCATTATCTTTTTAAACCAATGATGGAATTTAGACAGTTATCAAATAAAAATAAAAAACAAGTTCGTGCTGAAGAAAAAATTCATGGTCTACGTTATTCCAGTGGACAGGTGAACTATAATGAGATTAATAATATTTTACTAGAATTATTAGCTGAATACGCTGCTGTTTACATGAATGGAAATCAAGGATATACATATTTAAAAACAGTCTGCGAGCAGTTATTACCAAATTTAAAAATTGTTAACATTGAAAACCTTAACCTATGGGATTACCCAGTTTTTTGCAAAACAGTTATGATGTGCATGAATCATTTCAAACGTGGTCGATTTAGCATAACAAACGAACACATTATACATGATTGGCTTCAAAAGCATCTTCCCCATCATCATGGACAAATGTAAAGAGATGCAAAGAAACACAAAATTTATCGAAGATTTAAAAACGCTAAAAAGTGATACAACTGTATGAAGATAAGAATAATTTAATCAAGGCTTTTACTACTATGAACATATCTGAGGATCGGTGGAAGAATGTTTTCGAGGATCCATTTAGGTTCACCACCTTACCTTTAACTAAAAAGAAAAATGTTGTACTTAAATATAATGTAAACTAAGGTGGAAAAAATAAACCAAAAAATTGATTTTTGATTTTTTATTTTTATCACCCTTTTACACACACATACACACACGCATTAGAATATAATAAAACTCAAGATAAGTTATATAAAATATATTTTTATAAAAGATACATTAAACATTTTTACATTTCCTGCATATTCTAAAAAGATAATAAAAGCATAAATGACTAGTAAAATTATTCCAACTATTAACAGAGATATAAATTCAATAAATATTTTTGTGGAAAATGGTGTAGTATTTGAAATGATATTACTATGATTTAAAGAGATATTTTTATCACATTTATTTAATTTAGTTATAACACTATTTAAACTGTCTATATGATGAAACACTCTAGTCCTCCCACCATCCTTAGATAAAAGATATTTTAATTTAAAATGTAATACATGGTGTGATGAGGTATTAACTTGTATTTTACATACATTTTTTACTATGCTTCTATCCATTTTCAACCATTTCTGAGACAATTCTGGAATTGTTGTATTACCATTAAAATTAACACTAACATAACAAATGTTTGTATTTGCGGGATAATTTACGTAAAGTGTATTATTGATATATGTTGATAATAATAAAAAATTAAGAACTGAAAAACTCATGATGTTATTTAATGAAAGTAACTATGCCAACTAACCATATTTACACTTTGTAATTAGTATATATCTTAAAGGGGGGTATTAAATTTTTTTAAATTTAACAATATTTATTGTTTTATTACAAATAAATCGTAACTTGAGGGGTCCTTGTAAACAAACCGCCCAGATGATGTGGGTGGTTGAAAATTTTTAAGGACCCACGATGGTAGAGGCTGCTGCTCATGCTGCTGCTGCTGCTGCTGCTCATGCTGCTGCTGCTGCTGCTGCTGCTGCTCATGCTGCTGCTGCTGTTCAAAAAGATTTAACACGCCTTCGTCAGGCTCCAACACAAATCTGAAATCGCTAAACAAAAAAATAATATTAGAAAAATTAAAATTAGTATAAATAATAAACTACTTACTTTACACCTATCGCTGTCTGGGGGGTGGCTGGAGGCATTGGAGAATTGCAAATTAATGATGGGGTGGTAAGATCAATAACCTCATTATCATCACACGGAAAGTCAACCATGTATTGCTCCATAGCCTCCTAACCTATGCTGTCAGTATAAAGAAAAAATATTATAAATTAGTTTTACACAACATAATAAATAATAAATAAAATTACCTTATTTCTTTCGATGTACCTACAAAACAATAACAAAACAGATTACCACAGTCCTCACATTCCCTCAGGGGTTCCACCTGTCATAAAATCATAAAATGTCCTAAAATTGTCATAAAATCAAATTTTTGTAATAAAATTCATAAAAAATTTTGAAACCTTAAAATAACCAATTGTATTTTTGAAGAAAAACAATTTTATCTTATTAAATCATTAAAATACATTTAAATATTCCAGCCATTTAAAACTGTTTAAATTTGGCGGCTAAATTTTGGCCACCACATAACCTAACATTTACATATGTTTTGAAAACATTGTTTTTCCCATACTGGAAGTATGTAATGTTTTTTAATTTCAATAGTGTGTTTTATTGTTGTTACCAACGAATTAATATCTATTTTCGGATTAAAATATAAATACTATGTCCAACACAAAAAGGCGAACTAAATATTGCGGAGATTGGGAAAGAAATCCCGAATTTTCATGGCTAACAAGTGATAAAACCAGTATATATTGTGCAATATGTAAGATTTGTAATAAAAGTTTCAAAATCGACGGCAGTGGATTGTCACAAGTTAAAAGTCATCAAAACAGTACAAAACACCTTAATTTAATTTCTTTACAAACTAATAACAACAACCAATTGAGATTTGAAACAGATGGTCAAGGAATTGTGGCACTGGGTGCTAGGGGCAACTTTATTTTAACAAATTCGGAAAAAATTGTCAAAGCTGAAATTCTGTGGGCCCTAAAATGTGTATTCAGCAACTATTCGTTTTCTAGTAATGATGGAAACAATAATTTGTTTTCTACAATGTTTCCTGATTCAACAGTGGCTATGGTAAGGTCGGAAACTATTTTAAGTATGATAATAATTTTAGCTGTTTTTTTTTGGGAATTTAGGGATATCAAATGGCAAAAACTAAATGCAAATATATACTACAATTTGGAATTGCTCCTTACCTGAAAGCGTGTTTATTAACTGATTTAAATGGAAAACCATTTACTTTTTTGTTTGATGAAACAACAACTTCGCAAATAAAAAAACAGTATGATGCTTATGCTCAATGCTATTAAAAAAATAACAGTGCAATTAAAACATGTTACCTGACCTCTTTGTTTATGGGGCGTTGTAATTTTGTAGACTTACTTAAACATTTTATATAAATTAAAAATGACATGGAATTAGACCCAAATTTACTCCTACATGTGAGTATGGATGGACCCAACGTCAACCTCTCCTTCCATAAAAAACTTGAGACAGAATTAAAAAATACTTTTGACACAAAAGTTATAAATATTGGGACATGCAATTTACATCCTTTACATAATGGATTTATTAGGGGGTTACAAAAGCTTTCTTTTGATTTTGATTCATTTGCTCAAGACGTTCATTTCTTCTTCAAATATAGTGCAGGTAAAATTATTATTTTTAATCTCTTTATTACTGCATTTACGCGTAATTATTGTAGGTAAAAGGGAGGATTATGGAATTGTTTCTGAGGTTACCAACATTGAGACTGAATATATGCTAAGGCATGTAAATAGTAGATGGCTGTCATTGAAAAAAGTGCTGTCTAGAATTTTGGATCAGTGGGAGAATTTGAATCAATATTTTTTAAAAGAATTACCTAAAGAAAGTCGTTTTAAATATGATATTGAGAGAACTTATCGATATAAAAGAATTATACAAATTTTAAAAGATAAAAAAAGCACAGTTTATATGGCGTTTGCAGTCCATGTGGCAGACTTAGTAGAATTTTTTTCATTACGGTTTCAAAGCTCCGATCCCCTGATTCCGTATCTATACCCATCCTTTGGTGAGCTGTTGCTGATCCTTATGCAACAATTTATTTTAAAGGCTAATTTAGAAGAAAGAGATCAGGCTACTGAATCAGTTAAAATGAAGGATGTACTTCAGTTCTGTCAGGTGGATGTAGCTGAATTTAAAAACCAAATTCCCATAATGAAGATGGGCATTGGCGTCAAAGCAAAAAAAAATCATAATTTTAAATAAGATGAGCGAGACAGATGAAAAGGCAATACGAAACGAATTTAGAAAGTGTTATGTGGAATTTGTAAGCTACTTGTTTAAAAAATTTCCGAACGATAATATATTATTGCAAGATGTGGAATATTTAATTCCAGCTGAGGAATATTCGTGTCTAATAAAGGAACCGATGCAGTCGTTCGAATTGCAATCACGTTAGGAAATGTTTTTAAAAGAAAAATTAGACTTTGCTTTGAAACAAATAAAGAAATAAGCCCTGAAGCTCTGGCTGATAAAATTAAAGCTCAGTGGCGAAATTATCAATTAGAAAATATAGACAAGTCTTTTTATACTGAAACAAAAAACGGATTGGAAAAATTTAAAAGATTGGATGAATACTGGGATAAAGTTAGGTCAATTAAAGATATTGTTGGTCAATATAAATACACACAGTTAGCTTTAATGGCTAGGATCGTTTTGACTATCAGCCACGGAAATGCAAACGCTGAACGGGGTTTTAGTTTGAATAAATACATTTTGAATGATAAAAATTCGCTTGATAAATCAACAATAATTGCCCTAAGGATGATCAAAGATAATCTCAAAGATTCTCAGGCAGTCAAAAATTTCCCCATGTCAGTTACACTTCTACAAATGGTCGGAAATGCAAAAAGAAAATACACAGAGTACTTAGAAACACAAAAATTGTTGGAACAAAACAAAGTCCAAAAACAAAATGAACAGAAGATACAAGAAACAGAAGAGAGGAATAAAAGAAGAATCCATGATGATATAGATGTGCTAAATGATGACATAATAAGGAAAGAATCACAGTTGTCGATTGCAAAGCAAATGCTAAATGACGGTAATACAAATTTAAAAAAAGCCATGGGTGCAATACTTTTTAAAAAGGAACCGGTAATTCGGGCGCAGCAAATGATTGCAATGGGTTTGCAGAAAGTCAATGATATAACTAAGGAGCTTTCAACTATTGAAACAAAAAAAAGGGATTAGAGGAGAAGCTTAAGAAAAAAAGACCAAATTGAAACCAAAACGTTTAAAATTATTTTGATTGGAATTATTTTTTTATTAATAATAAAAATGTGTGTGTTTATCGTTTTTTTAAGTACATATATTTAAACAATCGATACCTAGCAACTTCTTGGCAAAATCTAGCAGGACCAATGGTTCTAGGGTTCTTTCTTGGGTAGCATGCCAAAAAATCTACTGACCCTTTTCTAAAAAAAAAAATCGCCTACGACTCTCCAAATGCATAATTTTGGGTGTCATAAAATGTCATAAAAAAATTTAAAAATTAACGGTGGCACCCCTCTTCCCTTCTATAAGCCCAATTAATTGCTCTGTAGAAAAAATATAAAATTAAAAAATGAGTATTAAACATTTAATATAACTTACTACTTTAAGGGGATGAGGGCAGGCGGCGGGGTTATATTTCTAAAAACATAAAGGTAAATAAAATATATATAAAAATATGCAAAATAAACTTACTTTTCAAGGAAATACCTCTCCAGGTCCGCTGGTGGGGTATAGCGGTTAATAATTTTAGACAACTCCGACATTTTAAAACAAACTGATGCATTTATTTAACTTTATATGCAATTTTTATCTAGCATACCACGTTAGTAACTTTTACTGAGTTGCATAAACATTGTGATAAATAAACACTCTATTTTTAATTAACGGAAATTATGCAAGGTTTTATTTTAATGGAAATTTTTAGAAGTATTGCGTCAGACACTGGATGTTGTTTTCCGGAGTTGATAACAAGTCGTTACAAGTTGAGTTCTTATCATATAACATCCTATTCTTTTTTAACCTTGCTAAAGAACATTCGATATGACGTACCTACGGAATTGCTATAAAACGCTGTGCATTTGCAACTATTAGCATTACCAGTTCAACAGATTGAAATACATCTATTTCTAACAAATTATTTTTTTTGCTCATATAACTAATTAGGTAAGTTTATTAAAGTTAATAGTTTATTTTATTCAATTTTATTAGTTTTATTTTTTAATTTCAGCATGTCTTTTTTAAAGAAAATCAATGAAGTAGCCACAGTTGAAGAAAAAATAATTAAAAAAGCTGAAGAGCTTGATGTTGGGTACCTATACCCCATAAAAGCTATTAAAATAGTAAAGGGGAAGTATGGCGAGATTCCTTTAGTGAAGTTTGAAGAGTTTGTGGTGTTCCTGCCAAAAAGAATGACGGAGGTGGTGGGGGAAAACATACAAGAGCTAAACAATGGGAAATTCGGTCTGGTATAAATAGGGCTAAAGGAATTCACCAAAAACAAGCTGAACCCTTCACCTGTATTTGAAATAAGATCAATTTAAAGAAATGGATGCAGAAATAGCTAATGTGAGTACTGATTCTTTCAATTTAATTTCAAATGCCTTTAAGATATTAAGTGCAAATTTTTGTCCACATTCTAGTAAGGTTTGGTTAAATTTAATTTAAAAAAATACAAGACTCGCATAAAATTTAACGAAAAAAAAATCAACATCAATAGGTACTAAAAGAAAATTAATAGCATCAATTGGTCAGTTAAAGCGATATCAACTACTTATAAATAATTTATGTGTAAAACATTTCGGTGGAGCACATTAAAAACTAAACGTAGTGATAGAATTAAATGGCAGGATTTAACAACAGCATTTAAAAGTCGAGTTCGCACAGGTATTATTATTAACATTAAACTTTTAGACCCCCTTACTTTTTTAAATGACGCATTTTATTTATTTCAATCTAGGATAAAAAATATTTTAAAATCCATACCACTATTAAAAGTAAATACATCTTTTGGAGGTGAATTTTTAAAAATAAGTCAAAATAATGAAATTGAAGAAATAAAGTATTTTAATACAATATGATATAGATAATAGTGTAAATTTTAAAAATTGGTTTCAAAATAATGTTATAGATATAATTTTAAACAAACTCAAGGAATTTGCTGAAGAAAATAGTGGATGGGCATTAAAAAAAGTTTTATCGTTAGAAATTAATATTAATAAATTTGAAATGGGTAACGGTTCATCCTTCATCAGACTACCTGAAGAAATTGCAAAAAAACATGCCTTTGTTAATGTTAAAAATTTAATAATAATAATAATAATAATGCTTGTTTCGCTTGGGCTGTTATGTCAGCTTTACACGAGGTAAATGCTCATGTTGACAGAACTTCATCGTATCCCCATTACGGAGATTTTGGAAATATTAACTTTCCAATGTCAATTAAGGATATTTCTAATTTTGAAAAATTAAATTTAATATCTATTAATGTTTACACGCTTGAGCTTATCAAAACAGAAAAGACTTCATTTTTAACAATAGTTCCATCAAGACTAACCAAAAATAAACTAGAAAAACATATAAATTTATTGTTAATTCAAAATAAATATTATCCTAATGATGTTAATAATGAGGAGGGGGAGGATGATGAGGATATTAGGTACCATTATGTCTGGATAAAAAATTTATCCAGATTAGTAGGTAGTCAGCATAATAGACATAAAGGTAAACTATTTATTTGCGACCGCTGTCTTAATTATTTTACTAGTGAAATTAAGTTAACAGATCATGATGAATATTGTAGAAAATTAAATCAATGTAAAATATCTTTTCCTAAAGAAAAATCAATTTGTTTTAAAAATTTTAAAAATAAAGAACCAGCACCGTTTATTTTATACGCTGACATGGAATCTATTCTTTCACCAATTAGCAATAATAATAATAATAATTTAAAATCACATAAATATCAAGAACATAAAGCCTTTAGCGTTGGTTACTATTTAAAATGTTGATATAATGATAACTTGTCATATTTTAAAAGCTATCGATGGCTATATTGCATGGAGTGGTTTGCAAAAGAAATAGAAGACATATCTAAATTTATACAATTAAAAATTCTTAACATATTGCCTTTAAATAAAAACGTGAATTTAAAAGATGCTACTAAACAGTGTCATATTTGCAATAAAAATTTTATACAGGGTGATGTAATAGTTCGAGATCATTGTCATTTTAGCGGAAATTTTCGTGGGTTTCCTCATCAAATATGTAATTTAAATTATAAAAAAAATTATGTTGTGCCAATAGTTTTTCATAACTTTTCAGGTTATGACAGCCATTTTATTATTAAAGATATTACTAAATATGGTAAAATTACATTATTACCTATAAATAAGGGAAAATACATTTCTTTTACATGGTTTGATGATGAAACAAAAATTCAATTTCGGTTTATAGATTCATTTAGGTTTATGGCGGCAAGTTTGGATAAGTAATCATCATATCTAACGAAATATCCTATTCTTAATCGGGAATTTGCAAATTTAAGTGTGGAAAAAATTAAATTATTAGAACATAAAGGAGTATTTCCTTATGATTTTATAGATTCTGAGAAAAAGTTAAAATATCCTATTTTACCTTCTAAAAAACACTTTTACAATAAATTAAATGATTGTGATAATAGTGCTGATGATTATTCTCAAGCTCTTAAAGTATGGGATACTTTTAACATTAAAGATTTAGGAGAGTATTCAGATTTATATTTAAAAACTGATATTCTATTATTAGCTGATGTTTTTGAACAATTTCGTGAAAGCTCTCTTAAAACCTATCAACTCGATGCTGCTCATTATTATACACTACTTGGATATACTTGGGATTGTATGTTGAAAATTACAAAATGTAACCTTGATACTATACAATCTGTTGATATGCTATTATTCATTGAAGCAGGTATTCGAGGTGGGGTAAGTCAATGCTGCAATCGTTATGCAAAAGCAAATAACAAATATATGGGGGATTTATTTGATGCTTCCAAACCTTCCAATCATTTACTATATTTAGATGTTAATAACCTTTACGGCTGGGCTATGTTCCAATATTTACCATATGGAGGGTTTGAGTGGGTAGATTCAAATGTCACCCAAATCCCTGATGATGCTCCCGAAGGGTATTTTTTAGAGGTGGATCTAGAATATCCACAACATTTACATAATCTGCACAAAGACTTGCCTCTATGCCCCGAACATTTAAAACCACCAAATTCAAAATTATCAAAACTTATGACCACCCTGCATAATAAATCAAAATATATTATTCACTATAAGAATTTAAAACAAGCTCTTAAACAAGGTCTTGTTTTAACTAAAATTCATAGAGTCCTTAAATTTAAGCAATCTCCCTGGCTAAAATCTTATAGAGATTTAAATACAAATTTGCGTCAGAATGCAAAAAACGAGTTTGAAAAAAATCTGTTTAAACTGATGAATAATGCAGTGTTTGGGAAAACCATGGAGAATATTAGAAAACATCGAATTGTTAAATTAGTTAATAAATGGGAAGGTCGGTATGGAGCTAAAAATTTAATCTCGAGTCCAAATTTTAATAATCGAACCATTTTTCATGAAAACCTCATGGCTATAGAGCTAAATAAGACGGATTTATATTTCAATAAACCTCTTTATGTTGGGATGGCAATTCTTGATATTTCCAAAGTATGTGTTTATGAATTTTATTATGATTATATATTATATAATTTTAATAATGTGAAATTGTTATACACAGACACTGATAGTCTTATATATGAATTTACCTGTAATGATGTATACGATGAAGTTATCCATAAGGATATTCACAGGTTTGATACTAGTGATTATCCTAAGGATAATAAGTGGAATATTCCTTTAGTTAACAAAAAAATTCTTGGTTTAATGAAGGATGAACTGAACGGGGAAATTATAACTCATTTTGTGGGGTTGCGCTCAAAAATGTATACATATAAAACAATAAATTTAAAATGTATTAAAAATCTAAGGGGGTCAAGTATAATGTCGTTAAATCCCTTACATTCAATGATTATCTCAAATGTTTGAGGAAAAAACTAATAAGAATATAATTCAAAGAATAATTAAATTAAATGCACATAATGTTTTTAGTATCGAACAAAGTAAAATTGGTCTAAGCGCTTATGATGACAAAAGGCATT